ATTGATGATTTTATAAGCTTATACTACTTGTATGCATGTTTTGTATTAATTCTAGAATTTAATTTAATTATTTTTCTTGTATATGATTTAATTTTCAAGGATGTGTATAACTTAGAATTAAAGTATAGCATGCTAGTAAATTTGGCCTTGGTATGGTTGTTGACATATATTAAATTTGGGTCATTTGAATAAGAATTGCAACTTTTATTTAATATTTTTTTTTTTGTGAAAGATTAATTCCCATGGTCGTACCTTACATGAAATTAACTTGTGATAGGCTATTAAATTAAGTCTTAGCATGCTCTTTAACATACTTTAATTTTGGAGCATTTGGATGAGTATGAAAATCTAGAGATTTTAATTAAATGAATTAATTAAAATCAATTTAAGGTTTCCATTGGCTTAATTGAGTTTTAAACTTGATATTTGAAATTACTAAGACTTGTTTACTAGCATATATTAATTTGGGGCCATTTGAAGTTGCTTTAGGAGTTAGAGATTTAATTATCATGATTTAATTAAATTCTACTTTGTTGTTCTATTGGCTTAATTAAGATTTTGAATGGATGTATGTAATGGCCATGCAATGTTGTTTAATATGTGTTAATTAAGGATCATTTGATTGAGATTTGAAACTTAGAGAAATTAATTAGTTTATTTAATTAATTTCTGTTTCTATAGCGTTAATGATTTAATTATGTGTTTGGCATTGGTTATATGTTTAAATCATGATTTTGGAGTTGTATTAGATTCACGAGTTTATGATTTCAATGTTGAGATATATTGTTATAGTGTGTAACGAATCGCACACTGAAGATTCAACATTTGTCATGCCTTAGTATTTGTGGACTTAGAGCATGTATTATATATGTTTCCAAATTCGGTTGTGTATGGTAGATAGTTGATTATCTTGTATATACATGTTGATATATACGTTGTTGCATAACTTGTTGATTTTGGAAACTTGGGAATGTCGTTGTTTGACTACGGCTAGGACATGGTTATAGTACGGGGGATTGTCCCTTTACAGTCTAGTGCGCACATAGGGAGGTTACCTATGGGCTAGTAACCCTAAAGTAACTATGGTGTCGGTCTGATCTGGCGTGATGTCCAAGTATCCACTTTGGTTGATTTCGCATTTCGTTTCAAGTTAACAACTGGATGATATCGTAACTTGTTGTTCTTTAATTGATTTCCTATTTTAAGTTTTAAGATGTTAACTTAGAGGAATCATGCTTTATGTGTTGTATTGGAAGTTCCGATATTGGTTAAATTGTATCGATATTGTGATTTATGTTTTGATGTTTAAATGTAACTTAGGAATGATCCTATAAATTCATTAGAACATAGACGTTAGGTGGTATGATCCACTTTAGTTATTTACGTGTTTTAGATTTCAAGTTAAAGACTTTGAGAACCTATATCTTGTTGCTTTGTATAACATGTTTCTATGTTGTTTAAATTGCATGAATGATGTGATTTATGCTAGAAATGATCTAAGGTAACTTAGGATGTTCCCTGAGTCTCATCTTGACATAGACGTTAGGTGGCATGAGCCCCTTTGACTTGTTTCACCTTAAGGTGATAATTTTGTAAAATGCTAGGTCTGTGCATGCTCATTTCCTATGAGTAGCTTTATGTTACTCACCCCGAAGTTACTGAGAGTATTGTTCAGGTACAGGATTCAAGATTTGGAGGTTTGCACTTGCCTTGGGTGGTTTGAAGATTTGAAGTTCTTTTAAAGTATTCTTGTTCACATATATGTGTTAGCATGTTTAAGTTTTACTTTTGATGTTGTAACACTTAGTTAGGTTCAATATGCTCTTTTTGCCTTATTATATGTAAAGTGTACTTAGATACATTATTTGGGATCTATTTGATATGTATGATATGAGGCTAAGGGTCAAACATGTTTATATTTGCACTTGTACCCATTTGGCGCCACATTGTGTTTAAAAATGTAATTTTTTCAACTTCGGAGGTTTGGCATGTCAAATTTTGTAAATGAAATGTAATGAGGCCGTAGGCCATTGTAACATGTTCAAAATGCTATATTACACTTGCGTGTATGTTCACATGCTCAATCTCCCTTAAAAAGAATCAGTTTTTGACCTATGCATGTGGGTGGAATGAATCCTATAGGTCCCATTGCAAATCTCAGGAAAATCTCTGTCCAGTTCAGTCGTCCGAAACTCCAGTTTGGTCGACTGAAATAGCCCTCATTCACTAGCCTTTTCAGTTTTGTTTCAGCACTGATGTTCCGACTTCAAACGGTCATATCTCCTTCATTTCTAATCCAAATGGGGTGATTCTTGAGCCTAAATTCATGAATTTTGAGTCCGATTTCCAATGGTACTAATGCCATTCTTAGATTCAAATCACAATGGGAGTTATTCAAGTTTTAGTTAAGTAATGTCAGGATTCGGTTCGAATCGGGAAAGGGCGTTTTGTGGAATTCGTGTCCAAAGTTCTTAGAACCTCTTGAAATGTTGTGAAATGATTAGTTTAGGTTGTATGGACCTTATTTGACTTGCTTGGAGTCAAATATCTCTTCTTAGTCGTAAATTGACCATTTTGCCCTTGATTGATCGGTTTTGCTCGTTTTTTTTTCATCTTATCATTACTTCTTTGTTCGGACCCCGAATCATGCGATTCTTGAGTCCATCTTGATTAGTTTTTCGGTCTCTCTCCAGCAGTGTGCTCGGTGACACCCAAATTCATATTTTCAGAAGTGACTACTTTGTCTCTAGAGGCTTAATTGTTATTTTTCCTATCTTTTGCCTAAACACTTTATTCCTTTGGGCTCCGTGACCTCATGTAAGGTCATCTTAGGGTCTTAGAGGCATGTTATACCTTAGGAGATCATTGCTTTGGTTCTTGCTTCTGCATCTGGATCTGTTAACGGGTCAATCTTCGGTTCATCACTGACGTACAGGGTTGAATAAAGCTCGGGTCATGACAATCATCATGGACTGTACTTCTCTTCTGAGGATCTTCACCTTTAATGCTTCAGAACCAAACCAGAAATCCTAAAAGCCGCCACTAGATCTAGAATAACTTGTAAGAAGAACAGAGCTTTTCTGTGGCCTTATGCATCATTTTATAGAAGCAACTGACTTCTAATAATGATTGGATGGGCTTTAGGTCTTCTGGGGTCATCTGAGCTCGTCTAGGATGAAATAGTACTTAATTAGAATTAATCCTGCAACTAAGAAATCTGACTTAACAGCAAAAGCTCGAGCAGAGAAGTTTCTGCTTGAGCTTTTTGGCATGTGCTCGAGCCTTTTGACTTGTGCTTGAGCAGGAATTCTATACTTGGCCATTTTTCTTCAAATAATTTTTGAAGCGTCTTTTTCATCAATGCCTAGAATATTTTGGGATAAATTCTTCATGGTGCTCAATCACTATGCTTGGGTGCTCTTGGGATTTCTGCTAGAGCTTTTTGAATTCTGCTCGAGCTTTTTGGTCTCTGCTCGAGGTCTGGCAACATGGAACTTGCATCTTTTCATATTCCGAGGCAATTTATAATCGAGTCCTTTCGCAAAGGCTCGAGCACCTTGAGTCTCTGCCCGAGCATTTTGGCATTGGTTGCTTTTTTTACTTCAGTTTACTTTGTGCTCGAGTTATGAAACTTGTGTTCGAGATTTGGCACTTGAACTTCTCCAAAATTACCATTTCGACTCCAAGCTTGCTTCAGATGATCGGCAATGATTCCGTAAACTTCGATATAGTCTTTTTATGGTAAAATTCTAGTTTTAACCATTTCTTTGAAAAAGTATATGCAAAAGTAAAATAAACACAACTCAGTCTAAAACAGAACCATTTCTTTGGGAAACTATCAACAAAAGCAAAATAAACAGAAGTCAATCTAGTTACTTAGTGTGTTAACATACTACACGTTTAGGGCTCGAATACGGAATATTCAATGCTCATTAAGTCTTCTTCCTCGTCACCATCTTTTTCTAAAACTCATACCTTTCTCTCTCTAAAGCAGACCCATTACATTTCTCAAACAGCCGAATGTATGTATGTATGAACACCTTTATTATGGAGTTTTTTTTTTCCCAATTAAAGCATCTCAACGGTTCAATCCCTGGAACCCTGTACAAATTCCTTGCATCCGCATTCACCGGAAAGAATGATCTCTGTGGCGCACCATTGCCGCTGTGTAACCCGTTCTTTCCTTCACCAACCCCGTCGCCGTCTTCAATTGCGCCACCACAAACACCAACACCAACACGCAAGAAGTCCAAAAAGATTTACACGGCTGCCATTATCAGTATATCCGTTAGTTCAGCTTTCATACTACTCTTATTATTGCTAATTCTCATCCTCTTTTTGCGAAAGAATCAACGCCGCCAACGGCGCGGTACGTAGTGGCAGCGACGGAATGGGGACGTCGTTGTCGAAGGAAGACATCACGAGCGGGTCAGGTGAAGCAGAGATAAACAAATTGATGTTCTTCAATGGTGGGGTTTTGATTTAGAGGATCTACTGAGTGGTTATTTGAGAGAAAAACAAGCAGGTCTCGTACTGATTTTCGATGGGGACATTCACGAGTTGTAGTTTTTAGCACCGTGAATTTGAATCTGCAGTTGAATCCGATTGACAATAATTTCAGGGAAAGAATTCAACCATTTGAGCGCAAGAATATATGTTTCTTGTGCAGAGAGATAGTGAAGAGACATCGAATTTCATTTAGGAATTTTGGTTGGGTTAAGTGTTTGACATGTTGCCAAACAGAGACCAATTTGGCAACATCTTCAAGGGACAATGTTGAAGAAAGTCCCATCGGATTAGTCGCCACCATCGATGTCAACCAAGCATTGTAACTTCCTCCAATAATGTAGTCTTGTTCAATAATTTGTTAGAGAGAGAAAGGTGAGAGTTCTAGAAAGAGAGGGTGAAGAGGAAGAAGATTAGGGTATTTTGGTAATTTGAAAATAATACTTATATGTTTATAATTTAATATTAAATTATAAGGTTAATTTGGAGCTTTCATTATCGGCTATGGGGCAAATGTGAAGAGAGTTTTTCGTTCAGGTTATTTATGTGATTTTACCCCGTATAGAGGTCTCGCACGCATCGATGTTAGCGGCAACGCCAAAGTTTGTGTGGCACTCAATGGAGCTTCAACCATGTTTTCAAGGTCCCCCTCTCTCTAAAGTGTGAATTTCTCATAGTTTGGTTACAATCTAATCGCTGTTGTGTGGTTTCTGTTAGATTAATTTTGATGACAACAGCGTCTGCGTTTTACTTCAAAGACTGTTTCTTAAAAATCTATATGTTCATCAGTTCATGTTGCTAATATTCCTTTTGGGTAAAATTCGATTCATCTTCTTCTTCTTCCTTTTTTTTTAATTTTTCAACCCTGGACACAAGAAGAAAAATGTTCACATTGATGCCCCATATCTTGACGTTCTTGAATCTCTGCAAATGGTAGTAGGTTGCATATAATGATTTTATTCAAATTTCATTGAAGTGTCTTCGTCGAACTCTAGAACAAAACTTTGGGCAACTGTGTTCTTTTTGTTGCTTGTTTAGGGAATGAACCCATGAAGGAATCAGTTTTAGTTACTGAGAACACAAAGTGCTTCAGAATCTAAATAAGTATGTATAGATTCATAAATTTCTTTAGAACTCTGAACACGGAAGTGAAGCATATATTTAGTAGTTAATGTTGAGAAGTCATGAAAGTTTGTGTAAGAGCTATGAATGAAGAAGAAAGAGAAAGATTAGACGATGGGATGAGGGAGAGAGTGCAATATACTTCACTTCCAACTATTGTTTATTCTACTTGTACAAAATTCGGAAATTAACGTATTAGTATATATTGTCTTACACTTCCTACTGGAGTTGGGCCCTATTCATAATTTGTGATGAGAACTCTTAAATTTCAAACAATTGCTTTTGTTCCAAACTTGAACACCTTCAGAAGGCTACATGAATATGTATCCATTTTGATTCCTGTTGAGCATTAAATAGTCATGGTGAGACTGGTGTTGAAATTTTACAATATTATTTCAAGTAATATTCTGGTTATCATCAGGCCACAGTTTGAACTCTTAACAAAACGTTTTATCAGCAATTGGGATAATATTCTAAGATGTGTAAGCTTGGTCTCATTTTAGCCCATTCTACTGGTAACGGTTTGTTTAGACGATCTTCTCTTGTTATGGGACTGTGTTCCCAATGATCTCTATTCAACTTATCATCAGGCCTCAGTTTTTAGTCACTCATGTTACCAACTTACATATGTACACATAACAATATATTTTTCCGTTTTGGTAGGTAATGTGCTGTTCTTGGTGCGGCGTCACATAATCAAGTGGAAGAGTCATCATAGATTTGGTTCAGATTCCGGGAACCAAAATATCTGTGAGCATTTGAGATCAGGAAAGAGATATTCCTCAAAGAGTATTAGAACTTCCATTTGTTGTTCAAATGATGCAGGGAAGGGTCCATATGTACCTTCTATTACCCAAGTAACTGATGCAAAAGTAATTTATAGTGTCGCTCCTGCCAAGGGTCATAACCAGGTATATTGAATCATTTTATATGTTTCTTTATGAAATTATTGACACTTCTACTTAATACAGCAGCTTATATATGCATTGTTGTATTGCCCTTTATTTATATTTCAAGCAGTGGTGTGTCTTCCGTGTTAACTTATATCGGGAAGATTTCGAGAACTTCTCAAAGAAATTATTGCACGTCTGTGCTGAGCTGTTCATTCTTGCATCATTTTATCATCATATGAGTTGCCATATTGGCTAAAAATAATTAATATTCCATCATTATTTTGACTTTGCTCTTTAGTTGTGAACATTTTCTTGAATCTACAGATGTTTCTTAAATTTATATAATTTTTCTCCTTGATTTCATGTGGTTTGATAACTCCGTCTGAATCTGTATGGCACATAGGATTTAATAGACTCTTAACTCGTTTCCCACCAGGACGAAGATACATTATTTACAATAAACTTGATCAGTGGGTTTTGCAGATAACAATGCTCCAATTTTTGTTTTTTTTCAACTACAAAAAAGTTAACAAAAAAAGAAGTGCTCCGTAACTCTTCCTCAGCCAGGCTTGGGCAGAATAGCATTGCAAGTACAAGTATTAGTAGCATAACAAAAATGCGTTCCTTGTCATTAATATGTTTGCTCGCGATAATTGTGGTCTCTTGGGAGAATCGATGACTGCATCTTTGACGCACAGCTAGTACTTGTACATCTGAGAATTCTTAATTGGCTGGTTGTAAATAGCCCCAGGGCTATGGAACAAAGGATTATCCCGGACCTACACCTACACCAAGAAAAGAAAGAAAAGAAAGGAGAAAGATTTTTTTATTTATAAGTAAAAGAAAAGAGAGAGATAAGATTGAAAAAATGAAAATGAGGAATCAGAATAATTATGAATTAGCTTCATTTTAATATCACAGCTAAACATATAAAGGGACATCTTTATAAAGAAAGATCTAGATATAATAGTGTTCGCAGATTCAGTTACCGGTTCAGATAAAAGCCATAATAACCGGACAACTCCATCGCACTATAAACGGACAATGCTGAAGAAATTGTAAGATATGGGTTTGCTCTTTTTGTCCATTTCCTGCTCTAGGATTTGCTCAGTCTTGACTGAAGAAGATTTTCTGGTTTGCCATCTGCTGATTCTTTTGATATAATATCATAGAAAAATACAAAAATGATTTTGTTTTTGTCATTTTCCTTAGTAGTGGAGTAGAGTCGATTGTTTGAATCTTTGGGAGTTCTTGACTTCTTGTAATTTAATTCATTTTATTTCTGATGCACTTGCAGTTCTGTATATTAGATATAGTCCTTGAGTTTCTTTCTTTTCTTTTTTTTTTTTTTTTTTTCCCTTCTCTTTTTATTCTTACAGGAGTCACATCCAGAATGTAATTTAAGAGTTCCTGCAATTGTGAGTGCTCTTGAAAAGATGGAACTAACTTCAAAGGTACTAGAATACTTTCATATTGTCACTGCCTTGGGCTTACAGTTATGTTCACTTTTTGTGTTCATGTTGTGTGTATATTTTGAACTTGAGCTTTATTCATCCTTTAAGAATAACAAATATGGTCCTTCAATGTATTGCAAGCTTGTTTTGATAAAATGATTGAATAACTATAGTATGGGGATGTTGTAGGAAAAAAAGAGAATCTTAGGAAGAGATTTAGAAGTATCTTTTGGTTTGTTGGAAATGACCTTGAGTTGGACACTCCAACTCTAGCCATGTCTTAGAAGTAGCATGGGCAGTTCTAAGTAGGAGCCATATCCAAGTTAGACATGTGATGTCAGTCACTTCTTGGATTCTGCAAGACATGTCTGAAACTTCTTGACATATCCATAATTTAAAACGAATAATTTCATAATATTGGACTCTTGGCCAGAACTTTGTGCTACTCCCCAATCTCGTGAGTACAACTAAGGATTAGTTGTTTTTTTTAATTAGGGGCATAATTGTTGCTTTCCTTATTTATGTTTTCCTTATTTTATGTTCTTGAGTAGTATATATTCCTACGGTATACGTCCTTTCATGTACGACATGGACACTGACTGTTGCTGTAGTGGTGATGCTACTATAATGGCTGTAGTTATGATGTTGACCATAGAAGTACCAACTTAGTTTTAAATCTGCATTACCTCTTTTCTTCTCCAAAAAGGTTACCGTCAGCCTTGGGCATAGTAGCCAGAATTTGAGCATTTTAGAGAAATGAATATGTAGAAACTCTAATACTTGCCAACATAAACTCTAGGCTTTAATCTCAAATAATTATATTTAGAAGATTGTTGCCCTGTACAGTGACAATTATTATTTTTTTTTCTTTTGGATATTTCAATTTTGTAAGTGGTCCTTAGCTAAATAGTTCAGTGGGTTTGTGCTTAACTTAATTTGATAATAACCATAGAAATAAAAGGGATGTCTGGGTAGGTGAGAATCAAGTAAGCTAAAGAGCTAGAAGAGGCTGTAGTGACTCGATTCTAGAGAACTCGACTATCCTTCTCATTTGAACTATGACTCTACTCAATAGGAGTATATACTGTTTAACTATGCAGTTTCCCTATCTCAATAAAGAGAGTTGAATATACCATTTTTTTTTTTCTGAAAATGAAAATCATTCTTGGATCCAGCGAGTGACATTCTCTGGAGATCATTCATAACACCCGAATCTCTCTTCTTCCTTTGTGGGTTGAACTTGAAGGGGTGGGGTGGATTTAAGTATTATGGAAGTCGTTAGTAGTCGATCAAAAATAATTTGATTTTTTTTAGCAGTGACATGGCTGTGTAATGGCGTATCTTGAGATTAAATGATATCATTAATAGTTATGGTATATTGTGTTTCAGGTCCGTGGCTCAAAGATCATTGAACTACAAAATTTTGGACCTGCTTCTATAAATGATATTGCAAGTGTTCACGCAAGAGCTTATGTCTCTGGCCTCGAGAAGGTACCCTTGATTTACTATTCTAGTCTTCTGAATGGATCATGTGTACTTGCATGGAAAGTACATTGCACTTAACCTTTTTATTATCTTTTCTGTTCTTTCTTTTAGTTCTCCTTCTACTAGTTATTTTCTCTTTTATGAAAAAAACAAGAAGAAAAAGAGACCTTTTAGTAGATAGGAATTTCAATGAAGACCTTAATTCTCTAATTTGTCTCATTTGTTTTAGAACTTCTAGAAGACGCATGTTTCTAGTTGTTTTTATTGCTTGTTATTATTTTGACATCCGTTTTTGTCCTTGTCGTGGATATCTGATTGCACTCTTATTCAGTAGGGATAAAGTTTCCTCACTTTCTGCATATTCTTCTTCTCAGTTAATGGCTTGGTGTTGACATGAGTCGTACTCGGTTATGTGTGTCAGATAGGAGTATGTATCCATGTGTCGGACTTGTCAGATCTTTAAACAAAAGGACACGTGGATACTGCTAAATATTTGTTTTATTTAATGCACCAACAGGCCTATGGCCTAGCGGTATAAAGCTCCTACTTCCCAAAGGGAGGTTAGGGGTTCGAACCTCAGTGGTGGCAGGGCGAGTGAGTACCCAATTAGGAAAAAAAAAAAAAATACAGTAAAGTAATGCTTTTATCTAATATAGCATTCAATATAGATATTTATCACATTTTAAAGTAATAATATAATAAAATTGAATGATTGAATATGCTTTTTAAGTACATGTCCACTCAAAAGTGTTGGACACATATTCCATACCCATGTCTGAGCAATACGTGTCCGACATGGGTATTTTACTACTTTTGAAGAGTCTATTTAACATAGGTGTACGTGGAGCATGCAACATGCATAAACTGAATTATCACACTAACAACGTAGTAAATATTTGGACACGTGAGAGATAGGTAAATCAGTCTCCTAACCAATCGATTCCCACATTCACATTTCATCCACATCATTAAACCTATGGTTCTGCTCGAGGAATATCAGCTGGTTTAGCTCCAAGCCTACCAGTTTCAGCCAACAAATTTAACACATACTTCTGTTTAGAAATGGACAACCCTTTCTTGGATCTGCACACCTTGATACCAAGAAAGTATCTCAATGGCCTAAGGTCTTCAACCTCAAACTATGTCCCCAAGAATGACTTCTTTCGATGAATATCTTTTGGATCATTTCCTGTGATGACAATATCATCAACATATACAATAAAGGGCAGTGGTGCAGTCCTGATGCTTCTTAATGAAGAGAGTATGATTTGCCTGACTCTGTGTGTACCCTACTCCCTTCACAGTAGTGTTGAACCTCTCAAACCGAGCACACTGTGACTGCTTTAACCCGTATAAGGCTTTATTCAGCTTGCACACTAAATTCTTACCATGGGCAAGCTTAAACCCTGGTGGCATAGTCATATACACCTATTCCTCCAAGTCATCATGAAGGAAAACATTTTTTACATCCATCTAATGTATAGGCAAGACAAATTAGTTGCCAAAGAAAGGACACATATAGAGTTCATGTTGGCAGCCAGAGCAAATGTTTCATGATAATCAATCCCATAGGTTTGAGTGAAGCCCTTTGCAACTAATCGGGCTTTATATCACTCAATTGTTCTGTCTGCATGATACTTTATTGTGTAGACCCATTTGCAGCCTACTGGTTTCTTACCCCTAGGCAATGAAACAATATTCCAAGTACCGTTCTTCTTAAGAGCCTTCATTTTCTTAAGCATGGCTTCCTTCGTTTGACGGAGAGCATCTAAAACACTAGAAGGAACAGAAACATATGAGATTGACGAAGTGAAAGCATGATATGTTGGAGATAAGGCATCATAGGGTACAAATTGAGATATGGTATGCTTTTATAACTATGAACACCCTTACGATAGGCAATAGGGACATCGACATCAACATCAACATAAATGCTATTGGGAAAAAGATTTGGAGTATCAATGTCAATTGAGGGATTACCTGGATCAAGAGAGACTTCTTGGTCCTGGGGTGAGTCAATGACTTGTTTTTCTCTCCTAGTATAAACAATTGGTTGCTTTCCTTGCTGCAAATCATCAGTGTTACGAGGAGTAAACACATGCACCTCAGTAAGAAGCTCCCCCTAAATGGAAACCTCCCCCTGAATGGGAACATACAATGGAAGGGGACATTCCCTCTTAGTAGAAGACGGATTCTCTACACGAATACTAGTCTTCCCTGTAGAGAATCCCGAGCGGTGAGAAAAAAAAAAAGGAATCGACTCGAAGAATATAATATAGGGAGACAAACCAACAACGAGTGGTAGGGTTATAACACCAATACCCTTTTTGAGTGACAGAGTATCCAAGAAAGACATACTGGATTGCCTTAGGGCCATTTTGTCCTTATGAGGATGAATGTGAATATAACAAACACAACCAAACAATTTCGCTAGTTAGCAAACAAGGCATCGTGATGGTGTAAGATAGAGAAGGGGGATTGATAGCCGAGAACCCTTGAAGGCATGCGCTTGATAAGGTATGCAGCTAATAAGGTTGCATTAGCACAATAACTTTTTGGCACTCCCATCCCAATTAGAAGAGAACGGGTCACATCCGTAATATAATGATGTTTTCTGCTACATCGTCTTGTTGGGGTGTATGGGCATAGGAGGCTTGATGGAGGATCCCGTCGTGTGATTAGTGGCTCTTGAATCAATGATTCAGGGTGGCCCACCAGCTAATGTGGAAACATGGTGTGCTACCGAGCAAAACTTTAAAAATTACACATAAGTACCTTACATTATATAAGTAATAACAAATAAGCCCCTAACAACAACAGGTTCCTCCAAATTCAAAAGACTTGATACCTCGATCAAAACATATGTTCCAACTTCTTGGTTGAGTCCATAAATGTACCTTTGCAACTTGCATGCTAGATGTTGGTGACTTTTTACCAGATGTCTTCATCTAGATGGCTATACAAGAAAGCCATCTTGAGTCTTGACTTCCATATGCTATAATTCATAGTCAAAATGAGTACTAATGGCTAAGGCAGTCCAAATATACTTAATCATGGCTACCAGTGAGAGAGTCTCTTCATGGTCAACGCTCTTGCATTAAGTGAAGCCTTTCACAACCAACCTTGCTTGTGAATGTTTACACATTCCCTTCCATTCCTCTTTTGTAGACCCATTTGCAACCAACGTATTTTATCCCTGGACGTAATTCTACTATCTCCCATACATTGTTGGAATGCATAGATTCCAACTTTGATCTCATGGTATCATTTCAACAATTCCCATCTATATCAGATATAACATGTGTAGTTCTGTGGGTCTTCTCATGTTTATTAGGGATAACCTCATAAGATTCTCCCAAAAACATGTATTAGTCACGTGGATGTGAAATCCTTCCAGTACGATGAGGTACTGGTGTACTAGAAGGGGAAGGGACAACCGAGTTATCTGATAATCCTTCTTGCTCATTCTCCACAATAGGTAAGTTCTGTTGAGGGTTTGTAGCACTATCTGACTTTTTTTGTCAATAATTTTGCAACTGGGTCTGTGGTGAATAATTCAATCATATTTCGAGAATACAGTATTAGTGCTCACTAATACTGTCCTATCCCTGAGATTATGGAACAAACCATCATGTCTTCCTCTTGCATAGCCTATAAACATACATGCCTAAACTTGATTCCAACCTATCTGTTAGTATATATGATAGCCAAGATTTATGGAATAACTTACCATATTAACAGAGATTTGATTATGCTATAGAATATGCCATAGAATATGCTTTAGAATATGCTGTGATTTGATTTAGTTTCCTTTCTTGTAATATGAGCATGTGCTCTTTTTATCTATAAATATTAGAGCTATGAATGAGTGAATCATCTCATTCAAGCCTTTACACAATTCTCTCATTTTTATTCTTTTTATATTTCTACTTGGTATCAGAGCCAGGGTGGTCCGACTGCAATGATGACATTGCGAGTTCGGCACCACCCATTCGGGAATGGTCTAAGGTGAGCTTGCCCATCCAGGAGGTGTCGGATAGGCAGGGTGATCCAACCTCAATGAGGGTGTTGCGAGTTTGGCACCGCCTATTCAGAAATGGTCTGAGGAGACATAGTTGTTTCTTTTTATGGTCTGAGGAGACATCGTTGATTCTTTCATCAACATGTTTTAAATATGTGTATGAAGGAAAATGGTTTGAGGAGACATTGTTGGTTATTTATGGTCTGAGGAGACATAATTGGTTGTTTATGGTCTGAGGAGACATTGTTAATTGTTTATGGTTTGAGGAGACAGTGTTGATTTGTTGATCGGCACTTTATCTGAGAGAAAATCATCGCTAGTCAAATTTGCACTCCATTTGTCACAAGCTCTCAGTAGCTTGCAAACATTCTTACAAAGGGCGTTGGCAAGATTGTGTTCGAGAATGCATTGTCCAAGTTAGGCGTTTCAGATATCCATGCACCAACTTAAAGGAGAGTGTCAGCATATATGATCGCCACGATTTTTGGAATAACTTACCATAGTAACAGAGGTTTGATTATGCTATAGAATATGCCATATAATATGCTTCAGAATATGTTGTGATTTGATTTAGATTTAATTTAGTTTACTTTCTTGTAATATGAGCATGTGCTCTTTTTATTTATAAATGCTAGAGCTGTGAATGAGTGAATCATCTCATTCAAGCCTTTACACAATTCTTTCCTTTTTTTTTCTATATTTTATTTATTCTCTATCCATCTTCCCTTTCCACACAGTTGCAGGGCATCCCTATATGTGCAAGTGTTACACCCAGTCCACAACTCATACGGTGTCTTGGGAATTGACTTAGAATGAACCAAGTTCAAAATGTACATTATAATTTCTAAGGATAGACTCCAAAAGGATATTAAAAAAACGATTCATCATTTATCTAATGATGTCAAATAAAGTTATATTCCTTCTCTCAGCTACACTATTTTGCTAAAATACAAGGCACCATTCTCCAGGCATGATGTAGTCGCAT